CAGGAAGAAATTTGTACGGGAAGTGTGAAAGTTCCGACCCCCCTGTCCCATCCCCCCCCCCCCCCCCCTCCCCCTCTTTAGTGTAACGAGAAAGTGCGGAGTATTCGATCATTCACTGAAGACAATTCAAGTTGTAGCTTATCCTGTCTTTCCATCAGTTTATTAAAGAATACCTTTGATCTCTTTTTCGGCAGGTCGAACTCACCGGCTCGTATATTTCCGAAAACGCAAACTTATATTAAGACGTAAACGGAAGTGGTCGGTTAAAATAGGACGACGTCGGTACAAAGTACCGAGACTACGACGAAAATTACTTGTGTACGTTGGAAGGAAATGGTTACGGCTAAAAATCAGCAGAAGAAAGCGATATGTTCTCTACGGACGTCGTTGGCGACCAATCAGAAAAGTCGGCCGTTATTGGAGGGTTCGTTTAGGAAGGCGATCGACTATTATCAGAAGGTTTAAATTTAAACTTATCTACAAACGTCGTCGTGTTCGAATCATACGTCGCAAAAAGAAATGGCGGGTGTACCTGAAGAAGAAATGGAGGACAATAGGATGTAGGATCCGACGTTATGTTCGCTACAGAAGAAAGAAACGCTGGTTGAAGAGAAGAAAGGGAATATGGAGAATAAGATATGGAAGAAAATGGAAAAAAATTAACAGACCAACCAAAGGTACGTTTTTATACTTGTAATGTAATGTATAAATGTAATGTAAAACTTTATTAAATTGTCAGTTGTTCTAGCGTTGTACACACTAATTGGTGACACTAATTAAAAACTACACTAAACAATTACTAAAGCTGAAAGATAAATTGTTAAGGCATCCAAAAGGTTCTTCCAGAAATAGATAGGAGATAAGTAAATAATAGCAATACAAATAATAATAATGAAATAATAATAACTTAACTACGTTGTTAATTGGGCTGACGGTTTGATTAACTGCTATATCATGTTCGGCTGCCATCATAGGAGGTTAAGGTTTTAGTTATTTGACAAACGCCCAGGGTGGCTTTTCGGCCATGTACCTTAGGCAAACGAAAACTATATAAAAAAAAAGACCTAAAACGACCTGATACCCAGAAGGTGCGGTATTTTACTTCGGATATAATTAATTTTATTTATTATTTTATAGTTACGGCTATCTAAGTATTGACACTTGAATAAAGGTTTCATGCGTTCGTTCGTTCGTTCGTTCGTTCGTTCATCACACAAGAGGAGGGGGGAGGGAGGTTGTGGTGTTCGTTATATTGGTGTTGCACTTTAACTTAGTTCAAACTGTGTCGAACAGCTAATGATCACATGAGAGTATTTTGCTTTCACTTCACGCCCCCTTCAATCGTTCGCAGGCTCATCGTGAACGTTTGCTTTTTTCTTTCAGTTCGTCGACGAAGGCGACAGCCAAGACGAAGACGTATGTAGTTTTTTTACTCTTCATTTTTATATTTCATTTCCCTTAAATTTCTACTTTCATGCCATTTGCAAATTCGTTAATTTCATTTTATTTATTCAATATTTATTCAGGTATATCTAATTTAGCTACAATTAGTTTAAAGGGGCAGTGTCACCAAGATTTAGTACTACTTAAACATCCTAGCAGAGTGTTTGTATCAATGGAAATCCACTAATAGTGGCCTGGTCATGCTAAAAGTTACTATACTAGTACAAAAAAACTGTTACAAATTTATTTGACTACCTGGAAGGACGGGTAGGAAGGAAGTTTTCAAGTTTTACCTTTGGGAAAAATAGTTCAACATCAATTATTCTGGCTTGTTCCTACCTCAGGATAATGAATTCATGTCTTTCTCGTGTTGTCGAGGAGCCATTTTGTGCATCAGCGAGTGTATACGTACCTTCGTAATTCAAGCGTAGTTTGCACAAAAACATGGGAGAATTCTCGTGATACTGCCCCTTTAAATAAATCCCTGATTAAGCATAAACTAATAATAATAATATAGGCAAATACACCTAATTGCAATAACGTTGTCATAGAAAAAAGAAAAATGAAAAAAGCAAATAGGAATTAATTAGGCATACAAAGTACATTCATGTCGAAGAAACGGCCTCAAAATACAAGTACGTAAGTCTTCAATTTATCTTAATTACACGATTAATATACAGCTATAAACGTGTGAGTTCTCTGAGAATGCTGCAAGCTTTGATGATCAACCTAATTAATTCCTATTTGGCTTTTTTCATTTTTCTTTTTTATATGACAACGTTATTGCAATTAGGTATATTACTAAACACGCTTAAAGTAAAAGACAGCAAATACATGCCGTACATACAGCTGTTTCGAGAAAGGTTGTCGGAAAAAAGCGTACGCGACACGCGACAATCCCGAAAGGTAATCTGGGAAATGATCAGCAAGGTACGTTCCTGACACTGTAGCTGTCGAACCTACTTTTGTTGCTTTCTTTTAGCACTCGCAAACATACGTCCATGGCGTCTCGTGCCATTTTCAGAGATTTCCCTGAAATGCTGAAGTCAAGGAACCGTGAACTTAAAACTACCCACAATACCTTTCGGGATTGTCGCGTGCGCTTTTTACGACAACCTTTCTCGAAACAGCTGTATGTTCCAACGGTTACGTTTATCGCTACCGTCAATAATCTTACCGGAGGTCTCAGGAAACAGGTTCACTTCCACGAGTTTGCAAGGTAGATTGCGCGTAGATTTCCATCTATTTTGTTGGTTTCTTTTCCAGGGTTCGTTGGTTTTCGTCGTAATTATGATTGACGGCAGTGAACAACGCAATGGTTAGATGGCTTCAGAGTTAGCGTGTTATTGAAAGGCGTAGTCAAGAAAAGAATGGGAATAACGAACCTATTTCATATCGTGTTTTTTTGGCAATTTTCTGCTTTAGGGAGGAGAGGAAAGAGAGTAAATAGACGAAAGAGAAGGCGTAGAAGACGTCGAAGACGACGACGCAGACAGCGTAGAATAAAGCGTCGAAGGAGGAAGCGTCGAGGAAAACGATATAGAAGTAAGTACAGCTTTTACATTTAGACAGCGCACGCCGCTTTCAAAATGTAGGAATGCGGTGACCTAATGGTTTATAGCGCGTTGGACTCCGCGGATTGAGCGGTAAAACTCTCACATTGCCTCAGGCTCTAGCTCCACCCCAGGAATGGGTACCGGCGAATTGGCGAGGCAACCTGACAAAACGCCGAGGGGTTACCCGTGACCTGCGATGGGTTAGGATCCCATCCAGGGGAGTAGCAATACTCCTAGTCGTTTCACGCTACATAAACTGGGATAAGCTCCGGTAGTGTAGGCCACCTTACCTTTGCCACTGAATTCCCGTGGCGATCGTGACGTCACAAAATTGGAAATCTGGCAGGTTTTTTAACTGGATTTCTAACTGCCTGTCCTTACCAGGCGTCTCCAAAATATTCAGAAAATTGCTTTTTGATGAACTTTGACGAAACAACTACAGTCGAGCCGCTTAATAGGTGGCCGCTTAATAGGGGTTCGACTGTAATGTCAATATTTAGTGATACGTCTACTTTCTATAGGTTGGTAAGCTCAAGTTGGTCCTTCCTATATATCTTTTTTTGTTTGCGCCGAACCACAAGAAAATAAAACCCTCTGATACCCAGGGTGACCAACATCCTTACTTTAAAATATTTTAAATTTGCTATAATATTACAACTACAACACTCGTATTGTGTTCATTTAAAGAAATTTGAATGGTTAATTAAATACAGATGAATTTATTTATAAACTATGAAGGATAAATTCACCCATTTAAAAAATATCATGAACGATTATTCTGTACGTTTTCAGTTTGAAACATACGAAACGTCATAGTTTTACAAATCCGTTTTTATTTTGACATCTCTCTAGTATGGCGTGGTCGCAGAATTGTGTTCCGTGGTAAACGCCGACGCGTGAGAGCAGGGAGAAGGCGATGGACCGTGGTTTACAGAAAACGCCGCTACCGCATCCGACGAGGTGGAAAACGATCACGAGTCTACTTCAAGAAAGGGTGGAGACCACTAAAACGTAGGCGCGGCATTCGGTATTTGAAATACGGTCGGGTATGGTTACGTATTAGACGGTACGGCCGGGTGTACAGTGTGAAGTATCGCGGCCGAAAGACGCGTGTCTTTACCAGAACTACCAAGTATCAAGTACGGCTCCTTCGAAAATGGAGAACAGTGACACGCCGTGGTAAGAGGAATTATATTCGCATCGGTAAAAGACGGAAACCTATTAGACGTCGACGAGTTTATTACATGAGGTACAAAGGACGCAAACTTACAGTAAGGAAAAGAGGAAGAAGACGGTATCAGATTAGATACCGCCGAAAATGGCTGAGAACAAGACGTGTGCGGTATGGAAGGCGACGTCGCGTGCGAGGTAAAGAGATCACTGTATTATATATATATTGTGTTTATAATCCTTCAAATATTTTTTCACAAGGCCTCTTTGTTTGAGAGATCTCGGCCAAGATGTTATTGCTAGTCTGTTCAAATCATTCAGTTCTATTCAATTTAACAATTTATTCTGGACGAAAACTGAACGTGCGAACGTAAAACGCAACTTTTGAAAACTGGGGGAATATCACTTGGAGGATATTTATATTATCCTGCTCAGTCGCGCGTAATATCGCCTGATACTTAGCCGACGAGGCCATAAGCCGAGTTGGCTGAAATCAGACGATATTCCGCAAGATTGAGCAGTTGTCAACGAGTGACATTTCTACGACTACTCAAGCTCAGAACTTTGCGCTTTGATGTCGCTTTGCGTAGATGTCGGACTCTGGATATCTGTCGTGATAGATAACAAGGGCTCACTTCCTGGCCATGTAAGGGCATCGTCATAATTTGTGTTACTCGTGCACGTGTTCGTACAAAGGTAAAATCGTTTGTGTGAATTTCCTGTAGGTCGAAAACGAAAAAGAACAAGAACAAGAAGGAGGCGGCGGCGACGACGACGCAGGCGACGAAGGAGAAGACGACGTAAGTAAATAATTTTAATCTAAGCTTAGCTACCTGGTTAGCTCAGTTGGTAGGGCGCCAGACTGTAGAGCCGGCGGGAGGTCGCGGGTTCAAATCCCGATTGGACCAACCAGGGTCTTATCATGTTGGCTGTGCTCAACACCTTTCTGAAATTAGCAGGGGACGCTTAAGAACCCACATCACTATTCAAAAAGTCCGACCTGTTCACATGTTGTATTCATGAGTTGGGATGGGCTGCGATAGGCGCCTTTACATGCCGGCGTCCGATCTCACTCCTAAGTTAAACATTTTAAAGCGCATTTGAATATCGAATATAGAAAATGCGCTATAAATCCATTATCAATATCATCATCATCATCATCATCATCGTTATTTGGTTTCAGGTCGAAGACGTGGCGGAAGACGAAGACGACCAAAACGTAAGTACATATTTACCGAGCCCTAAACACAAACAAAACTATATTTAGAAATATCTATAACAATGGAGGCAATTGACAAAAGTGTGCCCATTCTAATAATTATTCTGTTGGAGTTCTTTCCAATAAAAGTTTCTTACAATTATCTAGCCTGTTCCAGGCGTTCGGATATCGCCCCCTCTCCCCAATCCCCACGCCTATTATTCACTCGCCACTCTTCGCGCTTCGCGCGTCTTTTCGCGTCGCTCCCCTACTATCCGAACGCCTGCATCAGGCTAACAATTACCTTTCCATTGAATTTCCTAAAACACAAGCCTTCGTTATCACATTTTCGACTTGGGCATGGCGGTTAATTTACTTATCAACTCCAAGTGGAGAATTAACCAACTGTTTAACACCGATAGCAGCAAAACAGTTTCTGTAAAGACTAATAGTTGTCTTGTTATTGGTATTATTTAGTGAGATAACGCCAAATTAATGTATACGTTGCATTTCAGTCGCGTTCAATGTACGTAATTTAAAGATGATTTGAATTTGTTGATACGTTACACTTTGGTGATGGCGTGCATGAAGTTGTTATGAAGTTTTTGAGTCCGCCATTACGTGTCGTTGAGTTCCTGAATGCTCAATGAGCAGAAATGTCGGTTTGGGATAACGTCGAGGTTCTTCTACTCGTTATTATTGTTTGGCAAGGATATCTGGCGTTAATAATGAAGAAAAATGTAAGTTTGTACAACAATTTCTATTTTCGCTAGTATTTACATTCCTTCGTATGCGACTCATAAACATTGCAGGTGGAGATTGCGCAGTACGGACTGTAAATCATCTTTAAGTCCCAGGAAACTCGCTGAAATCGCTTGAAATCAGCGCAATTCCCACTCAAATAGCAAATTTGAACTCGTTATTGCCATGGTTTATTACAATGTTCAAGTAGTCGAATCAAGTATCAATACCACAGCGAGATTTCTGCGCCTTGAATTACATTCGACGCGACTGAAACGCGACGTATAAATTGTTACAATATGCTATTTAGTCTCTTCTTTGTACAAATGAATAATGATTAAATATAATCTCTTCTTGACTTATGCAGGTAGGAGATATATCCGCTACCTTGGCAAAAAACGTCGTGTAATAATAAAGAGAAGATACTACTTCGGACTTAAGAGACCTATCCGTAGGTTTAGGCGCAAGATAAGGATTTATATCAACCGGAAATCAAGGAGAATAAAACGTCGTGGCAAGCGGTGGCGAGTACGCATCAAGAGAAGATGGTGCGGACTTCGAAGAATCGGTCGAAAGTGGTACGTAAGAAAACGGCGAAAGTTGAGGAGAATAAAACGTGTCAGACTAATTTTAAGATTGAGGAAACGAAGACTACGAATTAAACGGCGTAAGAAGACGTGGTACGTATATCGAAAGAAGCGATGGACACGAGTTAAGCGCCGAGTTCGTTGCAGCATACGCATCCGAAGAAAGCGAATAAGAGTGAAATTGGTTGGCAGAAGAAGTGTAAGAGTGTTGCGGAAGGGCAGATATGGTAAAGCAAGGAGGATCCGTTTCATACGTAAGTTGATTCAAATATAAAATATGCATACTATTTAAATAAGTCAATTTTTTTCTCTCAAACATCTCAGCGGTTAGATAAGAACATGGTTGCCGTTGTTAAGCTAAGAAAGTAGTGGCAACAACTCGCAGCGGTTTGTATTATTCAGATGAGCATTTTGAAGATTTTTCTGTTGTCTGTGTGGTTGCTACATGACGTCTAGCGCCCAAGGTGACGAACAGTCTCCTCTTTTCATACACTGAAAGTATTAGTAGTTCAGCTGAGCCTTACTATACATGCTTTTCAAGAGGACAATAACTAGAACACAGAATATGTTGAAAACCGCTCTATAATATTACAGTAAGAAGCTAAAAAGTACTACCAAAAAATTATGATAAAAAGAAATTCTTTGCTAGGTGGCAGCGAGTTTGCATGTTGTCGACCTTTTAAATTGACAGCAAGTTCATTACATGTGGAGTATAGTGAACAACGAACATCTTTAAATGTCGATTATTGATTTTAAGGACAAATAGGAGCTACATACAATACAATAACTTTTATTTTGACACGATGATAATTAAAGCATGACAATGCTTGTGGAGTCGTGCGCTAACTGAGAGCAACATAATCACATAAATGCTGTTTATCTTAGGGCGTAGAAGAAGACGTGGAAAGAAAGCAAGGCGTAAGTGTTCTAATAATTCAGTTAAGTTAGCCCCCTTTTTGCTCCGACGAAGGGCTAACGCTCGAAACATCAGCCTCTAGAAATTCGCTACGGCGGTAATTTAACTTTATCAACTTCGAGTTGATAATCAACTAAGTGTTTTACTTGCCCGCCGACGCAGCACAGTTTCATTAAAAAACTAATCACTTTGTCTATAATTGTTAACTAAACATTCATATCTTCATTAATGGCAGTCATTACTATATGGCTGGAGCAGGTAAAGATAGGACGCGCTCTGATTGGCTAATACTCGGGCCTGTTCCCGTAATGCGGCATTATGATCGATGTTCCCCGGCTGCCAAAGCGCGCGCAATAGTAAAATGTTAGGGAGAGCCTAACTGCTCGGGACCGTACTGGGAAAATATCGTCCTCGGTCGTTCTTGTACGGACCTCGCTGCCAGAAAGACATCGGGCGATATTCTCCCAGTACGGCCCTCGCGCTTGGTTAATATGAAGTAATTATTTTTCCAAATACTTTTTCACATTCACAAATTTTTCACAACCTTTCTTATCCTTTATAAAAACATTCCAAAACTCCTCAAAAAACGCCTGTACTGCGCTGCGAGGGCAGATTATCATGTTAAATTCGCATGTACATTTTTACACCAATAATCATTCCCGGTTCTTAGCGATGCTAAGATGTATGTAAGTGCCTGTAACTGCATCGTGAACTTGAATAGTTCCTTTTCATGCTGGAAAAGAAATAACCTTCGGCAGACTAGCCGTGTATGAAAATAATTTTTAATTTGGTATATTTCACGTTAACTAAAATATATTTTGATTTTCAGGCCGTCGACGAAGAAGACGAAGAAGAAGGAGGCGACGTCGAAGAGGTACGTTTATCGGTTTAGTTCAATTCACGCTTTTTCTTTATCAACTGTAAGTTGCGAAGGTAAAAGGAGCCATCTTTGTTCATAATAGAAATAACGTCTGACTCAGTTCCTTCACTATGAAGCACTGGTATGTCCTGGACTTATTTATCATATAAAATTTTATTCCGGAGATGTTAAACAGATTACCTCGAGTATAAGTTTTTGTCGAGAGCGTCCGACCGGTGTGCGGAAGCTCACACGTTCGACTTCTGTCGTTTGACTTCTGAATGCTTTTTTCCGAGTAGCTTGTGTCACTGACCGAATATTATATTTCTCATTGTGTTTGATTGGATAATAATAATCGAAACTCTTGCTTCAACGAAGATTTGCCAAAAACGGTGCTTGTTCTCCCGACTAAATCAGAAATGATTAGCTAATGCACGTGCTCCCTGTTTCCCCTGAAATCACGGGAACAGGGAGCATGCGCTGTTAATAAGCCCCCTAATTAGTCCATAATGTCTAATATCTCTGTTTATATAGCCTCCCCCAATTAGTTCATAAGTGCCTAAAATATTGATTTATAAAGCCCCGTACTTTGTCCATAATCAGGATAATGTTTGTTTATAACCCCCCCCCCCCCCCCCCCCCCCCTACTTAGTCCATAAGTGTCTAATATATATTTTCTTTATCAGGCCACCGAAGACAAAAGATCCGATTCAGGAAACGAATCCGCCGTATAAGACGTGGGCGTCCTATGGTTACGTACAGACTGGGACGCCGTGTCTACCGCGTCAGACATTTAACATCAAGGGTGAAGATTTACTTCCGACGTCGGTGGTACCGCCCCGTGCGTCGCGGACGTCGTTGGCGGATAAGAGTTGGTAGACGACCGTGCCGCGTTATCCGACGCGGAAAGCGTTGGCTCGTGCGTTACAATCGACGCTGGAAAACCACGTCGACTTTACGTTACGCATCAACCGTACCTACAAAAGGGTTACACGGCGCGGAAGCCGCTTGTACATCACCTACAAACGCCGTTCAGTGAAGCTTACATTCAAGTCTTCGCGATATTTCGTTTACCGTGGAAAGCGTTTGATAGTGAGGCGAGTGAAACGTGGAAAACGAAGATACGTCAAGTTCCGGGTGAAAGGAAGAATTACCACACGAAGGATACGCTACAAAAAACGAAAGCGACTAAGACGTAAGAAGCTTAACGGTTATACTGCACGTTGAATGCCATTTTAAAGGAGCTATGTCACGATATTTGAAGTCATTTTTCTGATGAAAAAAAATTACTTTCGAATTGAAGGAAAACTCGAAATAATGTTTACTAGGTAGAAAAATACCAAAGAAGTAATAATAAACCGAGATGGAGCAAGGATGGTTAAGACTGAGGAAGATTAAGACGGATTGCGAACGACGAACTTGAAAAAATCGGCTAATTTTTTCAAGATGCGCCATCCGCGGCGTAGCTCCTTTAAGCTGGAGGAAGTAAATGATAATTATTTGTTTAGTGTCGTTGTTGTTGTTGTTGTTGTTGTTGTTGTTGTGATGATTGTTAATTGTCAAGACAAGAAAGGCGTCCTTTTAAGTGTTTTGTAATTGAACACTAACAAGTTAA